CTTCCGGAACCTTCCCGGCCCCGCCCCTTCCGGAACCCTCTGGAACCTTCCGGAACCTTCCTGGCCCCGCCCCTTCCGGAACCCTCTGGAACCTTCCGGAACCTTCCCGGCCCCGCCCCTTCAGGAACCTTCCAGAACCTTCCAGGACCTTCCCAGCCCCGCCCCTTCCCGATTCCTCCAGAACCTTCTGGAACCTTTCTGCACCTTCTCCAAACTTCTGAGCCTTCTGGAACCTTCCCAAACCTTCCAGAACCTTCCCAAACCTTCTGGAACCTTCCCAAACCTTCCAGAACCTTCCAGAACCTTCTGGAACCTTCCCAAACTTTCTGAAACCTTCCAGAACCTTCTGGAACTTTCCAGAAGCTTCCCCACCCTTCCCGGCGCTTTGGGCTCAATCTCGGCCGTTTCGGGGCCGTTCCCGCTGGATTTTTAACCTTTTTTTATTTAAAGGAGTTTCTATTTTTGAGATTTTGGGGCGTTTTCCCGGGATTTGGGGAACAGAAGCGTTTTGGGGCCGTTCCGATGGGATTTTGGGGCGTTTTCCCGGGATTTGGGGGCAGATGGAGCGGGAGATGCGGCACAAGCTGAAAACGGCCTTCAAGAACTTCATCGAGAAGGTGGAGGCGCTGACCAAGGAGGAGCTGGAGTTCGAGGTGCCCTTCCGGGAGCTGGGGTGAGTCCGGGGCGGAAAACGCGGAAAACGGGAAAAAAGGAGAGAAAAGGGGGATTTGGGGGGGAAAACACAGAAAAAAACCGGGGAATTTCAGGGGATTTGGGGTCGTTTCCTGACTCCGGGGGAGCTTTGGGGTGTTTTACCTCCTTTTGGGGATTTTTCCCTCCCTTTTTGGTATTTCCCTCTGTTTTTAGAGATTTCTCTCCCTTTTTGGGGTTTTTCCCTCCTTTTTGGGATTTCTTTCCCTTTTTTGGGATTTTTTTTCTCCCTTTTTTGGGGGATTTTCCCTCATTTTTGGGATTTTCCCTCCCTTTTTTTGGGATTTTCCTCCTTTTTTGGGATCTCCCCAGGTGAGTTTTGGGCTGAGTTTTGGGGTATTTTGGGGTGAGTTTTGGGGTGAATTTTGGGGTGAGTTTTGGGGTGAATTTTGGGGTGAGTTTCGGGGTATTTTGGGGTTAGTTTTGGGATGAATTTTGGGGTGAGTTTTGGGGGATTTTGGGGTGAGTTTTGGGGTATTTTGGGGTGAGTTTTTGGGTGAATTTTGGGGTGAGTTTCGGGGTATTTTGGGGTATTTTGGTGTGAATTTTGGGGTATTTTGGGGTGAATTTTGGGGTGAGTTTTGGGGTGTTTTGGGGTGAGTTTCGGGGTATTTTGAGGTGAATTTTGGGGTGTTTTGGGGTGAGTTTTGGGGTGAGTTTTGGGGTATTTTGGGGTATTTTGGGGTGAGTTTTGGGGTGAATTTTGGGGTGAGTTTTGGGGTGAATTTTGGGGTGAGTTTCGGGGTATTTTGGGGTGTTTTGGGGTATTTTGGGGTGTGTTTTGGAGGATTTTGGGGTGAGTTTTGGGGGATTTTGGGGTGTGTTTTGGGGTGAGTTTTGGGGTGAGTTTTGGGGTGTTTTGGGGTGAATTTTGGGGTGAGTTTTGGGGTGTTTTGGGGTGAGTTTTGGGGTGATTTGCGGTTGTTTCCGGTGTTTTCCAGGTTCAATGGCGCCCCCTACCGCAGCACCTGCCTCCTGCAGCCCACGAGCAGCGCCCTGGTGAACTGCACCGAGTGGGTACGTGGGGGACTGACAGGTGTGGGACAGGTGTGACAGGTGTGACAGGTACAGGTGTGTGACAGATACAGGTGAACTGCACCGAGTGGGTACGTGAGGGATTGACAGGTGTGGGACAGGTGTGACAGGTGTGAGACAGGTGTGACAGGTGTGACAGGTACAGGTGTGTGACAGATACAGGTGAACTGCACCGATTGGTACGTGAGGGACTGACAGGTGTGGGACAGGTGTGACAGGTGTGACAGGTACAGGTGTGAGACAGGTGTGACAGGTACAGGTGTGAGACAGGTGTGACAGGTGTGACAGGTGTGACAGGTACAGGTGTGTGACAGATACAGGTGAACTGTACCGAGTGGGTACGTGAGGGACTGACAGGTGGGACAGGTGTGACAGGTGTGACAGGTACAGGTGTGTGACAGATACAGGTGAACTGTACCGAGTGGGTACGTGAGGGACTGACAGGTGTGGGACAGGTGTGACAGGTGGGACAGGTGTGGGACAGGTGTGACAGGTGTGACAGGTATAGGTGTGTGACAGATACAGGTGAACTGTACCGAGTGGGTACGTGAGGGGTACAGGTGTGGGACAGGTGTGACAGGTGTGACAGGTGTGACAGGTACAGGTGTGTGACAGGTACATGTGTGACAGGTACAGGTGTGAGACAGGTGTGACAGGTACAGGTGTGACAGGTACAGGTGTGTGAGAGATACAGGTGTGAGACAGGTGTGACAGGTACAGGTGTGAGACAGGTGTGACAGGTACATGTGTGACAGGTACAGGTGTGACAGATACAGGTGTGAGACAGGTGTGACAGGTACAGGTGTGACAGGTATGGGACAGGTACAGGTGAACTGCACCTAGTGGGTATGTGGGGGGTACGGACAGGTGTGATACAGGTGTGTGACAGGTGTTACAGGTGTGATCAGGTGTGATACAGGTACAGGTGAACTGCACCAAGTGGGTACGTGAGGGGTACAGGTGTGACAGGGACAGGTGTGACACAGGTGTGTGACAGGTGTGAGACAGGTACAGGTGAACTGCAGTGAGCGGGTACGTGAAGGACATGGACAGGTGTGGGACAGCAGTGACTCAGGTGTATCCAGGTGTACCCCAGGTGTAACTCAGGTGTATCCAGGTGTAGTCAGGTGTAACTCAGCTGTGTCCAGGTGTCCCCAGGTGTACCCAGGTGTACCCCAGGTGTATCCAGGTGTACCCAGGTGTACCCCAGGTGTATCCAGGTGTACCTCAGGTGTATCCAGGTGTTTCCAGGCGTCCCCAGGTGTAACTCAGGTGTATCCAGGGGTATCCAGGCGTCCCCAGGTGTAACTCAGGTGTATCCAGGTGTAGTCAGGTGTAACTCAGCTGTGTCCAGGTGTATCCAGGGGTAACTCAGTTGTACCCCAGGTGTAACTCAGGTGTATCCAGGTGTACCCCAGGTGTCCCCAGGTGTTCCCAGGTGTAACTCAGGTGTATCCAGGTGTACCCCAGGTGTCCCCAGGTGTAACTCAGGTGTGTTTCAGCCGCCATTCGTGGTGACGCTGGATGAGGTGGAGCTGATCCACTTCGAGCGGGTGTGGCTCAGGTGTGCTCAGGTGTAACTCAGGTGTATCCAGGGGTAACTCAGGTGTAACTCAGGTGTACCCAGGTGTAACTCAGGTGTACCCAGGTGTATCCAGGTGTACCCCAGGTGTCCCCAGGTGTTCCCAGGTAACCCCAGGTGTATCCAGGTGTAACTCAGGTGTATCCAGGTGTAACTCAGGTGTTCCCAGGTAACCCCAGGTGTGTTTCAGCCGCCGTTCGTGGTGACGCTGGATGAGGTGGAGCTGATCCACTTCGGGTGGGTGTGGCTCAGGTGTGCTCAGGTGTAACTCAGGTGTATCCAGGGGTAACTCAGGTGTAACTCAGCTGTGTCCAGGTGTATCCAGGTGTACCCAGGTGTATCCAGGGGTAACTCAGGTGTATCCAGGTGTACCCAGGTGTAACTCAGGTGTACCCAGGTGTAACTCAGGTGTATCCAGGTGTAACTCAGGTGTTCCCAGGTAACCCCAGGTGTGTTTCAGCCGCCGTTCGTGGTGACGCTGGACGAGGTGGAGCTGATCCACTTCGAGCGGGTGCAGTTCCACCTGAAGAACTTCGACCTGGTGATCGTGTACAAGGACTACGCGCGCAAGGTGACGATGATCAACGCCATC